GGATATTAAATAGTGTCATTATATGTTTTAGAAAGATGTGTATAAGAGACAGCTCTCTCTCTCTCTCTCCCTCCATCTCTCTTGTGGTGGAACACACTCATTTTCACGAGAAAATACATCTTTCAATTTCAATTGCTTAAATTTTATACTAAAAAAACACTCATCAATGAAAGATATAGCTAAGTGATTTTAAACCCCATAGCCCCATTTCTAGTGGGTGGTTGAAGTGTAGATATTGACCCGGCCTGTAAGAGTGGGGGGTTTCAATAAACTGATGTGGTGCATGATCCGTTATTTGATTGTGATAAGCATGTCTAAGAATAAAATTTTATAAATCACCTATGAATTATGTGATAAACTTTATTCTATATGAGGTTGTATCTATATTGTTCAAATGCATGTTAAGTGTTACTCTAGATTCTATGCATGCCCTAATCTCTGTTATTCAGTGAATTCTGTGAAATAAAATCCTTTTATTGCGCTTCGTGCGGGCCATACCAGGTTTAATTGGCGTCCTTTCTTTTTTTGGAATTACATTTCTTAAAATAAGCTCGCTCGCTTTAATAGCACTGTCCATGAATAACAAAATTATATTCCAATCACAAGTACTTTATATTCATTTACAAGTTAGGCCTACTTTACTGGATGATGTTAACAATGTTAAAATTTGTGAAGCAATTTTCTACAATATTGTAATAAATACAGAATAAATATTTTGAGATATAGCTTGCCATACTTACAATATACTTTAAGGATGGAAGAATTTGAATGTATATATTTTCCTATTTCTGTCTGTATCTCACATAAGAATCTCTTATTAGTATCATTCCTTACTGGCTTCGCAATAATCAGCTCAGCATTTCCAGGAGTTATTCCTAAGCTGTAACGTCCATTGACAGTCTTAACATGATTTACAATTTCAGAAATAAATAATCTTGCTTCATTTACTTCATACCACCTGATATTAACACGAGGTGTATTAGTAACTTGTGAATAGTCACATGCTATCGCCACTTCAGCATCACCTTCTTTGGCCACCTGATCAGATGTTATCACTAATTGGCTACGTGTCACTAAAAACATACATTCTGTTGTTATAGTTTTTGTTGTAAATGATTATACATAAATTTAAGTTGCTAATCAGAATCATAAATAAATTCAGCCTATTTATCATCGTCATTATCAACATCCTCATCATCATCGTCATTATCATCATCTGCATCATCATTATATTCATCATTATCATCGTCATCATCATTATCATCATCATCATCATCATCATTATCATCATTATCTTCTCTTCTTCATCGTCATCGTCATCATCTTCATCATCTTCTTTATCATCATCATCATCATCATCATCATCATCATAATCATCATCATCATCATCATCTTCTTCTTCTTCTTCTTCTTCTTCTCCTCCTCCTCCTTCTTCATCATCATCATCATCATCATCATCATCATCGTCATCATCATCATCATCATCATCATCATCACCATCATCATCATCATTCTTAGCCTGTAACGTCCCACTGCTGGGCGAAGGCTTCTCACAAATCATGCCATCTGTTTTGTATATCTTAAGAGACAGCCCCACGGAAGAGGCGGAGGCCGCCACGCCCACTTTCGAAAATATAATAAATAAAAATGAATTTTAAATGCCCATGTTGCTTAATTTATTATTATATAAGGCAGATAGATGCTGAATGAGGAATATTTCTTTAATGTTTTGAATTATTGTTTGATTATATGCCGTTATTTGCTAAACTGTGAGAAGGTTTAGCCTATTCTAGATCCTAACAGTTTCCTTTCTTATGTAGGCCCTAAAGCACATACGTAATTCACACTTTATAAATCCAGGATATTAAATAGTGTCATTATATGTTTTAGAATATACTGTGAGTTTCCAAAATGGTATATCATGTTTAAATATCATGTTTAAAGAGGCGTTTGCCATAGAAAAAACATAAACCTATTGCTTAACAATCGAGTGCGAAACAAAAAAGCAAATGTTATAGAATGGCGTCGATAAAATTCATAAAATGTATTTGCTTCAAATTGCTTTCATTGTTAAACTGCCTTTCAATAATATTTTTAAATGTAAATAAAGTACATCGAAAAATAGGCCAACTGTAAAATCTTGTATTTTTTATAGGGAAATGCTGACAAAACAAAATGTGTTTGCTTCCTTTTATTAAACTGTCTAAATTCGTTTGGATAAGTTCTAAATGCAAAGCTTCCTGGAACCCCAAACGGGGGCCTTGGCGGCTCCGGTCTCCCAGCCAAATAGAGGGGAACCCCTCCCCAATTCCCCGAACCTCGTTGGTACGCTTCAAGCCTCCACCCCCGGCAGATCTATCCTGGATCCGCCTCTGAATTGAAACAACAAAACAAGATATAATATAGAAAAATCGTACATAAATAATAATTAACACTTTACACTATACTAAACTGGCGCAACATACCAATAGATATACCAAGCAACAGTAACATCAAATACACTAGAATGAACTGAAACAGATACAAACATAAGAAATTGTTATATAGATATTTACACTCAAATCATGAAATGAATTCCTAATTACAACTTTCATAAAAATTGTACGAATTAGAGCAATTTTTATCCCACCTAGTCCTATTTTCATTGGATGGCAGCAACCTTTTCCGCTCTCTGAGGAGAATTCCTAGTATTGCATGCAGTGGTGGCACTAGCAGGGACAGGGGTATTTGGTGGGACAGGCCTGGACCACCGTCGCCCGAAGCACGTCCAGGTCGTCGGATAATTTTTTTTTTTTTTAATTATGTATTGCCTATCCAAGTAACGTTATTTTGACTGCCAATGCCTAATATTGTGGTCTAAAAGCATATTTTGGACATACTAAGCCATAAAAACTCTCCCCGTTTTACAAGTAATACAAGGTACGGTAGTTTTTATCCTGGGTGGTCGACCGGGGCTTCGTCGGCCCCTGGCTCGGACGCCTCCGTCGGACATTTGACAATTTGGGTTTATTTAAACGATTTGAAGAGTAAAAATATGTAAAAAGTATTCAAGAAAATTCTTCTCCTCACACGAAGAGTGTTTTTCTCCCCGACCGGGGATGGGGGAGCTCTCCCAAACGGGACCCAAGGTGCCCCCGCCCCCACTGACGCCACCCCTGATTATCAATAACTTAATTAGCCTACTTTATACTTACACTATGCAGGTCTATTATTAACAATCTCAATCTTATGTTAATTTACACATGTACTTTTGTTCGCAGGTTGTTGGTGGTTGCACATAAGGAGCCTACAAGCTATCACGTAATTATTTACGATGACTTTCTACACCAACCCAGAGAACATGATCCCTCGGAAAAGACCTCAAATACCAAAAGAGGGTGCACGTCATCGGATGACATCGGCCGATGACGAAATGATCTGAGACTAGGTCATTAGCTTGATGAAGATACTATTTCGAAACCGGTTTAAATACTGTAGTATTGAAACAAGTTCAAATATTAAAAAGTATATTGTTGATAAAGCATTTATTTAAGTACTGAAAAGCATATTGTGCATAAATCATATATTTAAAAAAATGAAAAGCATATTGTAGATAAAGCATTATTTTATTTAAAAATTTTAATACTGAGAAACACGATATGCATAAACCTTTTTTTCAAATATAATTTCTGTAAGGCATGTTCCTCATTTAGCCATTTTTTGAAATAGTTTTAAATATTGAGAAAATATTAAAATGTTTTAAATATTTTTTTGTTAAAACAGATTTAAATACTGTGAAGGAAAATACTTTTGTTTACATATTTAAATACTGTGAAGGCTATTGTGGCTAACAATAAAACAAGATCAACTACTAACATGTCTATTAGTATATTGTTATGTTGTTTTGTAGCATTGTAAACAACATTTTTGAAACCCATCCTTATAAGTCACCAAATCATACATTTCTACCAACCTTTAATACTAAAACTAAAAAATCAGTACACCCTTCTATGTACGGAAGCATCTATTAGTATTTACATGAATTGCATACTCGCATCATTTTACTTTCTATTAGAAACTGCTAGTTATTACTTTATACTTACACTATGCAGGTCTATTATTAACAATCTCATGGTATTCACTCTCGTCCTAAAAGCGAAAATGAAACATTTATCATTTACTTTTTCTGAGCTGTTTGAAGGTTTATCGCTCAGATATGCAGTATCGACAAAGCATAGAATAAAAGTAGGCTTATGATACAGAAGAGGAGTGTGAGAGAGAAGATGAGTGTGAGCGAGAAGGTGTGGAAAAAAAAAGAAGAAGCAGGGACGTAGCCAGGATTTTGAAAGGTGGGGAGCCGTTATGCGAGGTACGTATGACCCCGGCGGGGTACAGGGGAACAAACACCAACTCCCCCCCCCCCCCCTTGAAGTAGCGCACTCTGAAAGTTTTGGGGGAGGACATTTTGTGAGTCGGCACCTACCTCAGATTCACCATGGTTGGAGCTGAGGAGCGAAAATGTGAGGAAATAGTACCCCTAGATGGCCAGAAACAAAACTTTTAGTAAAATTCATTATCATCACATGACCGTTACCGGTAGTCCAAATGAAGCGCCAAAAATAACATCTCATGGTCTTTTTCATAAAGGTTTTTCTGCAACCAAAAAGATCTTATTAATGTGTGTGATATATCATAGAAAACAAAGCTTAAAAACATTGTCTTTTGAGTATGTTCCTTACATACTTCAAAACCGTGATTTCACAACCACCTCAGCCCCACCATGGTTGGGACTGAGGTGAGAAAATTTGAGGAAATAGTACCTCTAGAAGGCCGGAAATCACACTTTCACGTAGTAAATTTCATTATCATCACATCACCATTACATAGTCAAAATGAAACGCCAACAAATTTCTCATGTACTTTATCAGAGATCTACTTGATATCCAGGACCTAACTATAATTTAATATATAAGCTTATAACTATCATCAACAAATCACAACTTTATTTTTCGCCTTTAGCACAATTTCCTTCACATATTAATATTAATATTACTATCAATTATCATCATCATCATCACCATTATTATTATCATACAACACAAACCATACATACAACACAAACCATCAATCCATAATTTGGCAGGATATTTTTGACCCTGAGTGAATTCACGGCCTTTTTGTACGTAACATTATATAACTGTGGATATTGGAGAGTGGACCATAACTGAACGAGATGTTTGAAAAGTGTAGGCCTATAAACAAAAACAATAGGAATAGTGCTCTACTCACCTTGTTGCAGTTGAAAATGTCGACGAACACACAACTGGTACTGGGGATTTGTATTGCGCCTTTCCCTTGCGGTTCTGAAGCAAACTTTCGATATTTATTGTATACAGTCACGTGAAGCTGTAGATTAAGAGATTAAATTAGTATGCGTTGGAATCGGTGTCGATACAAAATCCATAAAAGTTTCGATTATTCTGTTACCTATGAAACTGGACCTGTCATGGCCCTGTCACACCTTTACATTTAGCCAGCGTATGGCGACGTATCAACATTTCTCTAAAACGCTGGCAAACGCTGAACTATTGATGTGGTGTGTTTTTTTCCTTTTTTTTTTTTTTTTTTTTTTTTATTTTGCTTTGTTTTGTTTTGTTTTGTTTTTATTTTGGGCGTATAAATAGCGTATTCATAAAGAGTTGGACGTAAAGACCTACATAACCTACTAGATACTGTAGTTGTACAGAACCTTTCGAAACTTATGCCAACGAATGCTTAGCGAGCTGCCAGTGTAGCACGAATTTTAGTTAAAAGCTAATGTTAGTATTTCGTGGTCTAACTACAGTTTACACTCCTGTGTCTTTTCTTTATCGCAAATATATGTGCAATACCAAGGCGCGTCTGGATACAGATGAAGTTATGGAAAGTGTTGCCCGGTCATCAAGAGTTTTTTTTTTTTTTTCTTTCTTTCTTGTAGTGCCTAATTTTAAACATTATTTAAGATCTGGGAAAGTGTTCTGTTAAAAAAATTGAGTGGAATGTCTCATCTACAATGCTTGTTTTTAATACGGCTTTACAAACACTAATAATAATAATAATAATAA